GAGAGACATCTGGTTGTAAATACAGAATGGTGTATATTTTGTATTATAGAATCGAGAAATTTTGTAAATAAATTCATATCAAATATTGTAAATAGTACAGATTGGGTTTTTGTTACAATCATTTTTCTGGTCTGCATCCAGTCCTTCTGTTGCAGTGTCCGTAAAGTGACCACACTGCGACACAGTTCATTAAACTGGGTATCTTCCACAGTTGCTTCAAAACCTGAAAATGCGAAAAAGCCCTGTGTTCCGTCCCTGAGACAAACGTATTGAGTTCTAATTTAACCACTTTCTGCCAGGGATTCTGGAACCGGACATGTATGCTTTATATGCGTGGCCGGGGTCTCCAAACTCGGACAAAGGGAACAGGGCCTTGTAACAAAAGACCATACTCGGAACAAAAGACCCGGCTGCTGGGAATTACGGACGTTTTTTCAGTCTCAAAAGTGGAGATAATCCAGCCTTGTTTTGAAACAGTATACCACGGTTTGGGGCATTTAGAGTGAGTGGATTACCACCGGGGACAAAAGCGCTCCACCACCGCAGCGATGAGCCACACAGCACCGCTGCATGCTAATCTGGCCCCTACTGAAAAGAGGTCAGTAGCACACTGAGCCAGGTTCGTGAACTAAAGAAAGTTATACAACACTGCACAATCGGGGCTCTTTTTACAAGGCTGTAGATTTTGTCTGTCAGGCTAGAGTGGACACCAGACAGTCCTTCACATGTTTTTAAGTGTCCAGTAAATGAAGATTTTTAAAGAATTTTGAAAATAGAAAAAAATGATTTTCATGCCGGCCCAGCATCATCAACTTTGAAAAATGCCCCGGCAGGAGGTGGTAAAAGGTATTTCTAGTTTGGATATGTACGTGTACCAATACATGTACTTGGCACATTTTATGTATCTTGTATATAATGTACATTTTGTATGATAATTTATTGATTATTTTATATGGAACTTTTTTTTTCATAACATAGGTGAGAACATAAATATCTGCTGGAGTCCAGATGGCCAGACAATTGCTGTTGGCAACAAGGAAGATCTTGTGACCTTTGTGGATGCCAGAACCCATCGTGTAAAATCTGAGGAACAATTTAAATTTGAAGTCAATGAAATTTCATGGAATAACGAGAATGACTTATTTTTCCTGACTAATGGGCATGGCTGCATAAATGTTTTAAGGTAAACATTGCATTTAGTATTCCTTCTTTTCTTATGTACAGTAATTAAGTTACTGATGAAAAGATGATCATAATTTCCTAATTAACTAAAATAGCATCCATTTCAAATAAGGCCCTTATTTACACGTGTGAAAAACCCCTGACAAAAATAATGTAAATGAAAGCGTTAAGTATGGTTCGTTACATCCCATTGTCCCTCACATTTGCTCTTTATGTTTTTCATAAAGGCTTAATTACTTTGAATATTTGGCATTCCATGTGATTGAAATTGAAATATTTGGTTGTACCAAATTTCCACAAAAGCAGAAACAAAATATACATGTATCTACGTGTACATGTATTTTTTACAAAAAGTAAAAAGGAACAACTTTAAGAAAATTTTCTGTAAGAAAATCTGTCAAACTAAATGACATTCGAATAAATATGATATTGAGACTTAAAATGCATGTGTGGTTCACAATTAAAATCAAATGCCCCAAGTTCTTGATTTTGATGTAATTTTGAGCAGGGATTTCTCCAAAACTAGTGGCAAAATGAACATTGCATATGTAATTTTCTAGCACTACATGTGACTGCGTTTTTGTGTATTTTCTGTCAAAATTCTCTAACATCATCCAAATTCTGTCCATTGTGACATTTGCAACAAGCATGTACTCGTGATGTATGTGTTTTTTATGTAGCCAAAGGTACAGGATACTATTAGCTTTGGTGGCTGAAAGGTATGCTGGTATAGTTGGAGTGATGTAAATTACTATGGAATGGAGAGAGGCAAATCATCTTTTTAAATTATTTTCCGTCAATTTTGTATCACTTTCTTCCCGACTCACGTTCCTTTTTGGGGGCTTTAAATTACATCTGCTGAAAACTATACTAAATGATCATTGTTGTTGATGGAAGTTTGGTTTCAAGTCAAATACTTTGACTTAAAAGTTTAAATGATTTCAACTTCCTTTGATTTGCATGGCTACCCAATCAGATGGAATTTCAGGCTATTCACAGTGAAAGACAGCAAAAGGTGGAAAGGCTTGAGGTAGCACCGTGCAAAATAATATATCCCTGAGTATGTGTGGCTCTGAAAAGAACCTGGAGTATACTCAACATTTCGGACTGCATGCTCAGTCTGTCTTCAGGAGACTGAAGAGATGCTGATAATGAAGCTGTTTGTATATAGGGTGACTGGATGCAGTGGGGTGTGCCGAGGATGCAAGTGGTGGATTCAGCTGGGCGCTCATGCAGGATGGGGTCCAGTAGGTCAGTGAGCTCTGTCAGTTGGGCATGACACATTTGTCATCTGGCAGCATAGGCAAGACGACCTCCGACACTTCTTGGATTACCTTAACGTGCTTCACAGCAGCACCCAGTTCACCATGGAACAAGAAAGAAATGGCAGCATTCCCTTGTTTGATGTTGAGGTGTTCAGAAGTCAAGATGGCCGCCTCACCCGTAAGGTGTACTGCAATCCACTCACACACACAGATACTTCAATAGCTCCTCCTTCCATTACTCAAAAATCAAGTCGTCTGTCTACCGAGCCCTTGTTCGCTGGGCTTACAACATCTGCAATAAGGAACACCTTGCCAAAGAACTGCACCACATCTCCACAGCACTTCAAGGCAACGGCTACAGGCCACAGCAGATTAAGACCCAAGACCAAGATCCCCTCCCGGCCGCAGGGTCCCCTGGACCCAAAAGCCCCTACATGTAGTTCTGTTACTCTTCCCTACCTAGGTTGTACTTCCCACCACATCCAACATATCCTGAGCAAGCATTACATCAAGGTATTCTACACAGCCCCTCTCAATATCCACAGCATGCTGACATCCCACAAGGACTGACAAGATCTGCACCACTGACCAGGGGTGTTCAAGATCCCCTGCCTGTGTGGCAAAGTGTATATTGGCGAGTCTGATGGGGACCTCCCCACCAGACTCAAAGAACACCAAGCCCATGGCAGGAAGGGAGAGTATGAGAATCAGTGATAGGCAAGCAATCCCACTCTGAAGATCACTGCATCAACTAGGACCAAGCCCACCTCATCACCAGCACCAAGCACTGGTACCCAAGATGCATCAGAGAAGCCTTGGAGATCCTCAAGCATGCCACCATTCCCCAAGACATCGGCTTCTCCATCAGTTACATCTCGCAACCTCTGCTCACGTCCCAGTCCAATGGGTCCTCTGTACCCTAGGACCCCCCACCCTGCCTATGGGTCTCCTATACCCCTAGCCACCTCACCTCACCCCAACCTATGCCCAGCTGACAAGCCTCACTGACCTGCTGGGCCCCGTCCTGCATAAGCACCCAGCTGAATCCACCACTAGCATCCTTGTCACACCCCACTGCATCCAGTCACCTTATATAAACAGCTTCACCATCAGCATCTTAAGTCTCCTGACGACTGACTGGAGATTTCTTGGGCTAACTTGATGTCTGAGCAGTTATTTTCCCCCTTTGAAGTATTAATTTGGGAGAAAAAATTGGTTGTGGTTTAGGCCATTCTGGCAAAGGTTGATTTAACCCTACCAATACTAACTCTTTTTGTAAGGAATTTAGGTTTTATTTAGAGGATGGGTTCAGAGTACCCTGCATATACTGACAAACCTTAATTTTGTAACATTTATGTATATTTCTGTACAACATTTAATGATCTTTTTTAACCGATGGTACTCATCTTATTAATTTCCATTTATGAGTACCATTTAGGACGAAGGTCTACATGCAGTTGGTGATGTCCATGAGTGCTGCGCATGCTTTAATTTCCTCAAATGTTTTTACGAACTTACACTCATCGCCACCCCAGGGGGAACCCTGCCCCCTCCCATGGGCAGAATTCACCCCATTTTTCTGAGACCCGGGGACTGAGATCCCCCAGGCCAGGAGCTGGGCCATGGTAAGCCCACCATGATGGCTGGTATTTATGAGACAGCTGATATAGAAGTTCCAAGGCAGTAAACTTTAAGGTCAATGGCACCCTAGTGTAGATTTGCCTTTCTAGCCTTCAGGATGAGCCCCAGTTTCCAGCTCCATGTCCAAGGCCCCCAACACGCCCAATGTGCGTGGTCAAACGGAGACAGTCCACAGGTTCCAAGCAGGCAAAGATCCCCCAGCTAGCCCCACTTCAGAACCCAACCCACTCACTAGCCTGCCTGTTTCTGGCCTGCCGGTTGGGGACTCAAAGCAGCCCATGGCTTCCCTGAATTTTTTGTTGCTTGGGGTTCCATTGTGTATCTGAAGCTGCCTTGGAAGAACAGCACAGTCACCAGGCCAAGAAAGGGTAGTCTTTGGCATTCGAGTTATCCTCAGACTGATCCTTACTCCGGGCCTAATGCCACAAACATTCAAGATCGATGAATCCTGTCGATTTCTCCCAGGCTTTCCTGGCACTCTCAGCATCCATCTGAGAGTGGGCTTCCCCGAGGGACAACTCACCCATTTGCGTAACAGATCACTCAACATGGGTCATCCAGCCCAGCAAGATGGGACCCTTCTTGACGTACACCAACTTGACCTTAGTGTTGCCCTATCGACCCACACCAATCTTCCATGCGCACAATGTGGCCCGGCCATGGGACAACTTGTCCCAAGTGTCACCCCATGGGCCCTACATGCCTGTCCAGGCCCACAGCACTTGCTGCAAGCTTTGACTTGCCTTCTTGATTCAACCCCAAGTGGTTTCTATTCACCCATCTGCATTTTCCTTTTCACTTGGATGAAAATTAGGCCCGGAGTGGCCGACCACCACCAGCCAAAGGGCCCTGATTTACAGGCTAGGACAAACAAAGATAAACAGCTCATGGACGGAAGCTCATCTGGCTTGTCCCAAAATCTGTTTGCTGACTCTACCAAACACCAGCTGGAGAACGTCCTCAAGAAAGCTGACTGGGCCTCCAGATTTGACATTTGTGCCACGTCCTTCATGCTCCTGCTGTCTGAATATCTTGTCAAGGGCTGCAAATAGTGTGCTTGCATTCCTGCTGACATACTTTTTTGTGGTCTTCACTTTCTCGATGACTCTCCACCTGACTCTTGAGCATTTCACATTCATCCTGACACTTGTGACTTCCCGTCACTGGAGTTATATTTAGACGCTCTCTTCCTCCTGTCCTAAAGAGCTATAAACCATCTTAAAGCTCTCCCCTACTGCCTGATGGGCCAGTCAAACAAGCCACTTGCCTCCCAGTTCACAGGAGATTGGCATTGCTGACTTTCCACAGCCTTGGCCACCCCACACTTCCAGAGCCATGGGCAACCACCTTCAATTTTTCCTAGGGTCCTGGTACCAGATTGTCTGCAACCGGTGGGTGCTCCAAACAAATAAAGTTTGGCTACATTTGGCTATACATTCATCTGTCCCAAATGCTTTCACATGGACCCACTGTGTGCAGTTATGGACCCACTGTGTGCAGTCATCCACACAATCCAGACACCTTAGGTGGTACTTTAACAAGTGAGCACTAATTAGGGTAGTTGTGACAAGCCTCTTCATCACATCTTTCCCCCCTCATGACCCAGATTCATGAAAAACAACTGCATGGTGCCATCCAATCTGCAAATCAGAACTGGCTGACTTAGCAGAGTGGGACTCCATAGTTACAGTGCGCAATGTCAACTTAATTTTTGAACTCGTAGGGATGAATTGTGCCCTCTAGGGAAATATGCAGAGGTAGTGGTTCTGTATTCAGTAGTAGACCCTTCCCACATGTCTTTTTGGGGGATTACAGGCACGTGTTTGAACTGAACAGTGATCCTTTTAAGAAGATGTAATAGAGCTCTAGAAAGTGCTCTCTTTTGATGTGTCAGGTAACAATGGGAAAAAATTCTCTCATGTAGCTGCGCCCCCCATTCCTAGACAAGGATTGTGCAATTACATCGATTTCTGGTGGATTCCCTTAGCAGGGCATCCATTCAGTATGCCCATCACCCCCGTCCCCATTTCCTGAAAGCTAGGTCTGTCCCTGCTCCAATAAAAGTGGCAGCTGTGGCACCCCATGCTCTCAGACC